TATGATTTAATTGCTCTTTAAGCGAATTTGTTACAGATTTTTTAGTTTTTTTCATGACCAAATGAATAGATCGTTACCCAAACAGCTGTTCTTTTATCCTTGATTAGAACTAATTTTCCCTTTTGACACTCTTGTTTCCTAATGATCTTCAGGCAGCATCATCAGGCCTCAATGTTGCGCTTTTTCCAATCTCTGATTGGCCGGACATTGCTGGTGACGGCGGTAGTGAAAATAGCACCAAAGTGTCTTCTGCGCCCTTTGTTGTCAATGCTCCCTCCGCGTCGTTTTCTGCAAACATGGAATTGTCACATTCTGCAGGTGGTAACGCATCACGCTTACAAGTTTTTCCCCCTTCTCACCTCCCGTCCTCTTCAACCACTACCGAAAGCGCCATTTCATCTTCAAACGCGATGCTTCTATTTGGAGCAGACGTCAAATGCCAGACATCGCTGACTGAACCCTCCACAGGTAGACCGGTTGGCTTTGCCCAGTGGGTAGTCAGCCAAAAGTTGAGATAATCTTGTATGTGCCTAGCTGGCACAGCTCATCATTTTTATTCTCTGCTGCAGTTATCGTTCCATGAGTCCACTTAAGTCATGCCACTTTTGGTACTTCTCTCGTTCTTTTCACATGAACTGAGAGCTTCTACTTTGCATTCTTCATTGAAAATAGCTATTCTTCATGATTAACTGAGGAGTTGCGCCAGTCGATTCACGTGCCTATTACTATCATCATAATGCGTATCCCTTCATAGTTAGTGTTTGTGCACATTTGTTTTGCTATGGACAGTTTGACCTCCAATTTTTCGCTAGTCAAAGGCCATATTTTTCCTTAAACTTCCTCCTATCGATTCGATAATCACAACCGTGCTTAACTTGAATCCGTTTTATTTATATTATCATCCTCTCGATTCGTGTCTATGCGAATGTGCCTCTGTTTACTTTTTTCGTAAACATTTACCCCATTGGTGTATGCTCGCTTTGCCGCTGGCATTACCACGATAACAAGGTTAAATTATCAAGCCTATTTTGTTGTTTTGGTACGGTGTTGTTGATGGACATGTTGAAATCTCAAAGATGAGATTAGAAGAAAATTGACTGGGCGATGTTTTCATCAGGTAATTTTGGCGACCCAAGTGCTATTATGTGCGGCGATTCTGTCATGGTTTACCTCTGAGAGTGCAAGGGACAATTTTATCTTGATTATTTTACCGTTTTGAGATAAAAACTGGAAATAATTCTGAGACTCTCAAAGCAGCATTCCAGATCAAAATTTGGGACCAATGCGTGTCTTTTCAAACAAATACACTGCTTCAAGTGCCAATGCTCTGTACTATTCCAGTGCCCACGGTGATTGGAAGTGCACAGTGGTCCACCCCTGAGAAATCCCTGACGCAATGGCTACCGAGTCAATTTCCATCCGAGCAAGCTACTTTTGGCACTGATCCTTTCGACCTAGACTGGGCAGAAAGGGCAACAGCTTTGGCCAAGGGCCAGCTGGCAGCTTGCTTTCCTCCCTCCTCGACCACTTCACTAGCCCACTTGCCGGCGGCTCCACCTCCTCAACCTTCCGGCGCTGCTGTTTGCACCAACCCATTCCTCGCTGTTCCCTCCGATGAGCGGTAAAACGAGCAGTGGGTCCTGCTGTGGCAAGTAGCAGAGGGATCTATCCACACAGCTCAGAGCATTTATTCCCTGGTTATTAAGATGTCTTTTCTTGCCCGATTTCAAAACTGTGATTGACCACCTCAACTAGTCTCTTGTCTCCATATAATTATTTGAGCCTTCCTCTCCTAACCTGAGTAATACCATCCATCTCTTTGTTGTTTAACTATATTTCGTTCGTTTTTCTGCATGTTCGTCAATGTATGATGCAGTCGCCAATCGGCTTGGCTTCGACCTCTGTTTGTTGAAATGGATCATTTAAAATTGCCTAAATAGGTAAAATCAGCAAATAGTCGAGTTTTGTTTAACGGTTGTCACCGAACCTATTATCGCCACTAACAGTCTGCCAAAATTCTGTCCCTTTGCAGACATGTTGTGGAGGATTCGTCTATAACGCTATAATAAGCTTGTACGAGTCGAGTTTTCTGATGAGGCACTGGGGGGCGTGAGCGGGTGGTGTAACTATAGGGAAACTCGATGGCGTATGATGTTCCAAATTTTTATCCGTAGGATGGTTACAGAATTTTATGAACGGAAAAATTGACTCATAGAAAGTACTAGAAGGTTTTGCGT